ACATTTCTGGGAAAAGACCTGTATGGCTGCGTTGTGAATGAAAGCAGGGACACGCACGCAAAGATTTGACAAACAATGTTCTTTTGTTTGGCACTAAGCTCAGTTTTTCAGGTTTTTTTCAGTAACTGGTAATTGGCCGGTGTACACATAAACCTGGCCTTCCTTCATCTTCCTCTTCTGTTAACTTTCATGGCAGTTGGCATCCATACGTGTTGCATTACCGCCATCTTCTGGTCTGTCCCGTGTCCCATCTATTCCAGCATCAGCACGGGCTGTGTGAATGCCTGAATAATGCAAATCACTACTGGTGCCTGAAAGGTTAACCCAATAATTGCCTTAAACAATGCAAAAGATCTTCTCTGATCACATTGACAAGCTGGAATTTCATCAACTGATCATTTCATTACTGACTGCCAATCGCTCCTTTATTCTTCTCAAAAGTGTTTTGGGGAAGACTTTCTCTTCTTTAAGACGATCATTTGGTAATCTCATCGTCTGCGCCTCAGGACAGACATAAACATGCAATTAAAGTTCTTTATTCCTCCAGTGAGATCCAGGGCCGGGTTCTGTGGTCGGGCTGATAGATGGGAGAGAACTCTGTCTCTCTCTCCCTGAACTTTTCCAGGCGGACGCCTCAGTGATAAAGAGAGGAAAGAGGTGGCTGAGAGTCTCTTCAAGGGACGGGAATGTAATTTCTGGTTTCCCGCAGAATTCAAACATCAGTCTCACATTTTGTTTGTGTTTCTTTCTCCTCCATCCCTCTTTCTGTGTCCCCGGGAAACCAGGTTATGCAAAAATCAGAAGCGTTTACATACACAGTTGTAACAATGTAAAAATCAACGTATACATAGAGGCAGTCGGTATCAGATTTCTCCACTTTCTACGACCTTATTTTAGAACCATGGATCATTTATTCGTCAGATCAGAGCACGTAGTTTGAGATCTTTTCCCCATACTCTAAATCTAATTTAAAGTTTGCGTTGTTATTCATCATTAATGTTCTTTTAACCCAGGGTCGGTTACAGGAAGTCTGTGATCTGTGTGATCACACTACTGATAACCGATTGATTTTGTTCATTGACGATTCCAAAAAAGATTCATTTAACGTTGCACAGGCCATGGGGCTGCCAAGACGCTCCCCAATAACGTTTTATTCCAACCAGATGGCTGCTTCCTCAAAACTGTTGACCAAAAAAAGACAAAGCCAGTGTTACTTTCTGCAATTCTACTAAGAACAGTGAGCAAGAAGAAGAAAAGGAGAATCTGGACACGCAGATGGCTGAGAAGATGCAGACAGTATGGTCCGACTGCGAAGATCAGTTTTATTTCTATCACAGCAAAGTGTGAGTCATACAGTGGACACAGCAAGTAAAACACTGCAGCAACGGTAAAAGAAGCTTGTGACGGCCTGTCTTTGACGGACCTTTAGACAGCAGTCAGGTAGGAAATCAGATCACAGAACAGCTGGAACTGCAGACAGCCACCCAAAATGTCTGACACCATCGTTCAACAGCCAGTTCAGGAAATGAATCATTCCTCGTGACCCCCCTCAAACAAATGTCAAATGGGGACCAAGTCATGGTTAAAATCTGGTTTAGTCTGTCCCGTGCCTACCTGCCATCAGAGAGACTACTTAGTATCAGACTTTGAGTTAAAAGTATCCACACTGCTGTAACAGCAATACTTTCCCAGTCTGAAGTCTTTGGGGCCGATGATGCATCGCTACAAGCGCTACAAAAATTGCTGGGCAAAAAACAGCAGGTGCATCTGTGGAGCGGGGTTGCACGTGCAACCAGGTGATCAAATATGATCACAGAAAAAAAAGTAGATTGAAGCAGACGTCAAGCTCTAGATGAGTTAATTCTGGTTTCATTTCAAAGAGGTTTACCTGGGTTTCCCCCCCTCCACACTCCTGCTCTGTAGCTCTCTCACAGCCCGACAGCTAACCAGTTAGCTAGTAAGTAAACGGCATCAACAACAGGAGGGAAGTGGTGAAGAAGGAAAGCCCGCCTCTTGCTTGATTTGATTGGCACGCTTGGAAGGTGAGTGGGATTCAGTTAGTTGCAATCTGCAACTTCACCACTAGGTGCCACTAAATCCTACACACTGGTCCTTTAATATATAAAAGTAAATTCCCTGTCATAACATTTTTTCTCTCATCTCTCCCTCCCTTCCCTCCATCACTCTCTCATCACATTAATTCCAGTAGAGGTCTCCCTTCCTTATCCCTTTTATTGAACTCCCTCTCTCTTCCTCCCTGTCTCATAACATGCATGTAATTCCAACACATGTCCTTCCTCCTATTTTCCTCCTTTGAATCTCGTTCTCCCTCTCTTCTTCCCTTATGACATTCATTCCACTGCGGAGGGAGTTTCCTCTCGTGCAGTAATAACAGGCTGGAAGTGCCCGAATGACCGATGCGGATCGACCACATCTGAGGTTCCTCTGGGGTCAATTCCAGGTCCTGTTTATTTAGTCCTAAAGGCTCAATTCAAAGCTGGAAGCCATTGAGTCCTTTGTCGGCAGGAACAACAGGCTCTTGTTTCCAATCATAATAAGGCTCATTTTAGCACGATGAATCAGACTGGAACTACTTGTTCTAAAAGCAGAGGGCTTGTTTTGGTGTTTAGTTGTGGTTCTTTGCAGCTCAGTGGGAAGAGCAAAGCAATAACACTGACATATCCCCCCTCAACCACCTCACCCCCCAAGCTGTCAGTCTCTCTAAATGTGACAGAGTTCAGGCTGGTTTACACATCATTCTGGGCAAAAAAACTCTCCTACTGTATGTTATGCAATGCTTTCCTACTCACATTTCTGTACACAGAGCTTATTATGCCACCATGATATATTGTTGCTTTAATGCTTGGTTGATTAATTGAAATTGAAAAATTAGAGATAACAATTTTAAACCTACTACAGTCTCAGTTTAATACTGATGCCTTTATATGACCTTAACAAACACACCAGACCATCAGCGAGAATATTGGTTATTTCCATGTAGTTATTCTTAATGCCAGCCATCGGATTCCCCTTGAAATCAATGAAACGAGGCAGTGGAAACACTTTAGTCCACAGGGGTCGCCAGAATCAACACAAAATGAAAGTTCCTTGTTGCTGCTTTAATTAATAGTTGTAATGTAATGTAATTTATAAATTTGTAAAGCCACGCTAGCAGCTTTGTGAGACTCCATAGAGCCGCTAACGTGGTTAAGAATGAGAAATATCCCTCTTCTCATTTCTCACTTTTTCTACACCCTTGATCCTCTCCGTCTCTCCCACCTGAGATGCGTGCGAAGGAGGCGAGGAAGACAAGAGGAGAGAGGAAGCGAGGCAATGAAATGAGACATCCGGCCGCCATTTAAAACGACGTCAATTAACCCCGACATGTGGCACAGCTGCATCATCTGAACACTGTCACACCTCTTTCATACGTCCTCGCTCCTCTCCTCTCTTCTCTCCCCTCGAAATGCATTTCAGGAATTGAGACATCCTTCAAGATGGAGGATGGAGGAGAGAGGAGACGAGTTCCAGCTTGTCAAACGTGAAGGTTTTTCTGTTTCTCTGTTTTAAATCATAGTGAATTAAATATCTTTGAGTTAACAGTTGAAAGATCAACTTTATGGTGCATAAACTACTGTATGTAATGGAGACCTCACACATATCTTCAGCATTTCTGCACTGACTTCTAAAACAATACTGCTATATCTGTGATGTCTTTAATATCTGCTGCCGGCTTTATTGGTCGGGCCGCATCAGGAACTCTTGTCAGTTATTTCGCTGTTCTGTTGTGGTTGGATTGTGTCACATTCTATCATGTTCTACAAAACAAGCCGGGGAAATCTTTTCTCTGAACACTCTTGTTTGGTGTCACTCTGGTCTTTGTTGTGTTCAGGCTTCGGTTTCTGTGAGTCACACAAACATTCAAACAGCGTGGGAACATATTTCACTCGAGCCAAGTGGGCAGGATAGGATTTGGAAATGCAGATGTGTGACAAAGCGCAGAACGTGTCAAAGAGTGTTGAAACCAAACTACTAGAGCTTTCTTTTGTTGGTAAATGTATCCGCTCACCTCCGCCTGCTGCACAGATGTCAAACCCTTACTGCTATATTATACAGATAAATGAGGGAATTGGGAAAAATACTGAACATGAAGAGGCCCCATTTTAAACACAACCAGTCGTCAAATATCGCAGAGGCTTGACAGCAGATAATAAAAGAATACGCACAAGCAAGGTAAGAAAGCAAATAACTGGAAAATTACTTACCAAATACATCAGCTGGACAGAGCAGAGCATGATGGGACACCACAGGAGGGAAGGAGGCAGATTGTTGGGAAAAGGAAACAGAACACATGAAATTAACTTTTAGATCCTCACATCTCTTCCTAATGTTACATCACTTAAATACCACTTAATTATCTCATGAAAACCACTAATCATTTAATTATGACTCGCAGTTAACCATTCCCAGCTTTCCAACTCTTTCAAAAGAGTGTGTTATGACAAATTAGGCCTAAATGACACCACTTGATCGCGGTGTGACCAAAGAGCGAAGACACTGCAAACCTTTCTTTGCTTTCTTCTGCAGCTTCAGAGTGTCTGAGGATCTCTTCTTGATCTCCTGACGGGCCTTCTTGTACTCTGTAGAGAAAACACACACACGGACGAAGAGTTGAACACAAAGTTCCCAGTGCAGGCAAAGAAACTGTGTGGACACATTAACAAAGACACATACATAGAGATATTTTAGGTTAGATTCACAGAAATACATATCAGATATGCATATAGAGAGGTCCGTGAACGCCACACAAACATAATGACACAGTAACTGCATATTTGAGTTGAGAGCAGAATCTGACTACCACAAAAATTTAGTGTAAAGAAAAAAAAAAAGAGCATGAAGGGTTAGGGTTAGTAACCGCTGTCTGCTGACTTAGACTAGTGGATGAGTTCATAAGTTAAACTGCCTTTAAATCACATATTTAAATGTATTTAATTAAGTAAGGATTTATTTAACTGGCTCATTAGTGCAAATGGAAACAAGAACACACTGTGTTACTGTGTTTTCCCTTTTAGACTGAAGTGCAGTAAGGTATCTAAATGTGTTGTATGTTTTATGTAAGATGATTAATAATCAACATAAAGCATTTTACAGCTTATTTATCTGTTCACAGTTCAGCTGAGAGCCTTCAACCTTCAGACCTTTCACTGGTTACACACTTCCTGCTCTCTGCCTTTGTGAGACAGTGTACTGTCGGTGTGAGTCTTCAGTTGTCTGTTTGTTTCTACATTTGCGTACCTTTGGCATGGTCTTTGTCCAGAGTGTTGGCTACTCTCTTCCACTCCTCCATCTGCTCCTGTAGAGGGTTGATCAGACAGTCCAGAAACACCCTGCGAACACACACAAAAACACACTGTCAGAGCAAAAAAGTCCCCACAGCATATATGTTAGGGTTTAGACTTTGTTTACGGTTGAGGTTAGAGTAAGGGCTGTGGTTAGGGATGTAGTGGTTATGGTTAAGGTTAAGGTTTGGCTAAGTCCTCAGGGAACGAACATGGGACAATGTTCCCTTAAGTCACGGAGTGTGTGTGTGTGTGCGTGTGAATAGCTAGAGAGGTTTCTTACTGACATAACTGTTGAAAGATGTACACCAGATGTAGGTGTGCAAATGTGAGGGCAAAGAGACTGAAAAAGATTCTTTGACTTCTCTCAAAATCTACAAAATGTATATCTGCTTTATCAAATTATAGAACCATTTTGATGTCTTGGCCCGATGCAACCCAACGTTTGTTGGACTGTTTTCAGGCTGTATTATAATCCCTGTCAGGATGAGGAGAATGGACATGGAAGGTAAAATGAAGGGATTACATATCCCATCCGGCCTGAGAACGTGGCTCCGAAGCTGGAGGACGTGGCTGGCGTGAAGGGCATCTGGGATATTTTACTTTTTGGTGGAAAAAATGGATGTTTGTATGTGTAAATGCATAAATATAATAACCAAGGTGGTTCCTGTTTACATTGTCCATCTATACAGTATCTCTGTTTACTGACTCAGCTGGAGCTCTCATCTTCTCATTTCTGTCTGACTGACTCTCTCCCTCCATACTGGGAGAGTTAATGGACTCATGCAGAGAAAGGAAAATGAGAAGAAGGAGGAAGGAGGAGTTGGGTCGGATGGAAATACAGATGAGGAAGCTAAAAGGATGCTGTTACAGCAGGAGGCGGAGAGAGACACGAAGGCTTCAGAAAATGAGTTTAAAGACGAGTGAATGGAGAGAATGAATGTGACCTTCTCAGGAGGCGGCAAAATGGGAAGAAAGCAGCACACATGGTTGAGGCTCATAATGGCAACGAATAAATACATAATAATTGATCAGGATAATCTTTTTAGCTGTAACAATGTGGTTAGATGGAATCAAAGACTGAACAGGGAGAGAGCAAGATGGAGGCTGGAAAATCTGAAACAGGAGGAAGAGGAGGAGTAGGTTGCCATGGAGAGCTGGGAGGAGAAGCTACACCTGTTCAACACACACACACACACACACACACACACAGATCTACTCACATGGAGAACTGGCGGAGTTTGGCCTCGATGCTGCGGTGCCTCATGCACATCCTGGTCAGGGCTGAACCGATGTCCCTGGTCCCTCCTGACAACAAACAGAGAGAGAGGGAGACGACAATCTGTCAGTCACATTTCAACAGTGGCCGTGGATCACTGGAAGCTCCTCAGAACTGAAACTTAAACAATAAAAAAAAAGATTTAAAACACATTTTAATTTGCATTTTTCAGTTTTATTCCAATTTCAAAGTCAAGCCTTGATCTGACTTCAGTAGCCCATTTCAGACATGGATTTCATTTTGTGAATGCACTGACAATGTCACTTGTACAATGTATCACTTTAAATGAATGACAACTGTTCCCCTTCATGTATGGCTGCCAAATATTGTGCAAACATTATGGTTTTAGAAGCAACTGTCCTGCTCTTTATGGAACATTTGCATCATGGAGACCTACGCTTGAACACCAAAAAGCCATTACTTTAACTGAAGAAACCCACAGTGTTACAGAGTCCACGTGTAAACAGTTGGCATCATTCCCTAAACTTGCATTAAAAAGGCTGCAGGAAGACGTCTTCTATTGACGTAACAAAGACCAGAGGAGGTCAGAGGTCATGTAGCCCTGTAGCTGACAGGTATTCTGAGCGTGTCCCTTGCTCAAGGACTCTCCAGCAGGGTGGAAACGAGCCTGTTTGGTGCACCAGAAGCTCCACAGGCACCCGAAGGGACCAGATGGTCGTCCTCTCTCTCCCCCAGACAGAACACTCCCTATTGGGGAAAGGTTCACCAGACCTCAGCCTGTCAGCCTGGAGATCCAACAACCCTCCAATGCACAACGTTTGTGTTAATCCACATGAAGAATCAGAAGAAAACCATGCTGAGGTCTGAACCTGGACCTAAACTTTATACAAATACAATTCTGATTTTGTATGTTATACTTTCTCTAACTGATATCTGACAGTTGGTCTTATTTGATCCGTATCTTAGACTCATTCATGTGTACTCAGTTACTCTTCAACTTTCAACGAAGAGTCCCCATAAGTACAATATAAGAGCGAGTGTGTGTATCTGGGGTGGGGTAGTGAGCACTGCATTGCACCACTGACACCTCATTCTCTCCTCTGCTCTCCACACGTCCTCCTTCCTTCCTCCTCTCCGTATCTCTTGTACACATCTTCCTCTCACCTGATCTCTTATTTTCTTCCCTCTCTTTAGCCTCCTCAGGTCGAGTTACTCTTCATCGCAGCACAAAATGACCATCATTTAAGAACAATGTATTACTATATATGTGATCATGGTGGTTTGTTGAAGATGGACTCAAAGACCAGCTGCTGAGATTTCTAAATCCTTCTGAGTGAAGACTTATAAAAGGTTTCTGTGAGCAGGGTCTCAGAATGCATCAGGTAGAAATGCTACAATCAGTTTTAGTATTCTAGTCATCACTGTGGTGATATATTGTTCCTTGTTGGACATTACTGTTTAAACTCTGCTCTATCTGTATTGACTTGTTCTTTAGAGGCCAAAGCGCTCAAAGCAAAGAGAACTTAAGCTAGATTTATAATAAATAACAAAAGAAAAGGAGTTGCAATCTGCTACTTCACTCTAAATACCACTAAATCCTACACACTGGTCCTTAAAGTAAATAATTAATACACTTCTTGCAGAAATCTCCTCACCGTCACTCGGAGGGATCTCGTGTGATACATCCATTTAGTGTTGTGGGGGCGACACATGAAATAAAACTATGAATTACAACCTCACTGTAGTCACTGTATGTATCTACACTCCTGTGAACCCCTCGTGTCCACAGTCAACCCGACTTTAGGTGATGATGCTGCACTTCCTCCTTCTCATCGAGTGTTGTACTGGACAGTTTCTGTCTGCCTTCAACCTCCATCTCTGTCAACTGTCTGTTCAAATGTTTCTTCAGAGGGCTTTCATTGTGTTCACTGGTGTCAATACGGAGCAAAAGTTCTAAATGTCTGACGGCATTGTGGAGGTTTTTCTACATTAAAATCATAAAGCAATTGTTTGAATATTCCTTCAGGTTTTCAGAAAGACATTTCAAGGCTCTGTTGTTGATACCGACAGGATATACTGAGTTCTCTTTACCCCTGCCCTCGGGCCCCCTGGGCCTGTGCCCGGTACGGTTCATCAGTAATGCTTCGAGCCATTTTTCTGTTGAAGATCTAAACCTCTTCTCACTCCAAACACCATCTCCTCTTCACTCTTCCTCCGGTCCTCCTTCACACCATCTCTCTCCACCATTCCCACTCCTCTCTCTTCACACATCATCCTCCGCTCTCCTCTCTTACATTTCCATCCTTCCTCTTTCCTCTTTTTCTTCACTCCGTTCCTCATCCTCTTCCTCCCCTCTTCTCACCTCCAGATGAGGTGTTACCTCCTCTCTTCTCACCTCGTCTCCTCCTCTCTGCTGAGCTCCGTTGAGAAACAAGGTGTTATACTTCTGTATCAGTCCAGGCTGAATTCCCATCAGCCAGCAGGGCAATGGAAAATACATCACCGAGGCACCACATATCTTCAGTGTGCTTTAAAGGCTGATATATTTCACAGTGACCGTGTTTATGTTCCTAGTGGCAGGAAAATGCTCTCTGGAGAAGATTGTTCTACAGAAATATGGTGAAAGGTGAAAACCAGACATCTAAATGAGCTCGATGTCTAAGGTTTGTATGAGTCAAACATGCTCCGAAGCTGCACCCTGGCATGGTTCCTACAAAATGTAACGTTGCAGGACATTAACAAAAGACCAAAGATAGGCACAAAATGTGCACTTTCATGGAGCTACAGTAGCTCTCCAGAAGAAAATGACTTTCCCAGACCTGCGTGATTTGAGCATTTTGGCCCCAGTGTCGCCTGGGCAGGTCTCCACAGGAGCTGCGAGTCCGGGTTTCTTGACCTTTTCATGCTCCTGTTCTACCACAGCAGTTAGAGGGAATAATTTGGCAGTGCCACAGGATTTAAGGAGTCAGTGCTACTAAAATAAAGAAAAAATAATAAAAAATTCCCACTTAGGCCAAGAGTTGCAGCTAAAAATTGAGGTTTTATACGAATATTTCAAGATATTTTCAAATGTGATACAACTTTACTCAACGAAGTGCAGAGAGCTCACGTTGTATCAGTGGCGACTCACCAGCCACAAACCATAATTCACAATTACTGTTTCATAGAGTTGGATTTTACTTTTTAATCATTTTAATATCACTTCAAATGAAGTCACACACTATGAATTTAATTAAAAGTCACACTGCCCCTGTTTGTATTTCTCTAGCTTTTTTTCTCAAGTAAAAGCTTTGTTTGTTCAGATCTTCCTCAGTAGTCCTACCCAGCTGCCACTGCTTCATTTAGAGAGATTTTTAAGAGCCTGGATAGAGCAAACAATCATCTGTCAATGCAGGGACTCTCCCCCCGACTGTTTCTGTGCATGTGGAGTCCCATTCCCGAGCTTTGGAAACCTGAGCTTTAAACTGAGCAAAGTTGCAGAGTGGAACAAAGGGAAGATGATCAGTTTAACAAAATTGCTGAGTTAAGTGAAAAGGTAATCTGATGTGACGCTATTCTTCCCTGCCTGAACAAGTCTTTCACAAATACATTAAGCTTCACTTCAGTTTTCAGTCTAAGTCACAGAATATGGCAGGAGGAGACAGAAGTGTCTAACTGCAACAGATTTTGGATTTTTTTCCTTTAAGTTGTGATTGTTTTTATTTGGAGTCAGTATTATCACTGACAGAACAAACTGTACGCAGGAAGCAAAGACAAAGATGTCGGCACATTTGTGTTTACTGAGATTGTATGTAAGGATTTCAAGTGTTCTCTGTGTGTTGTTTTCAAATCTACGTTATATGTCGTCCCTGTGACTCAACAAGATGAATACTGTCGCTGGCGAGCTAACTGCTAACACGGTAGCAACCCAGAGACACCACTGTGTACCTGAAGAGGCGATAGTGAGTCACTGTAGCATCCAGTCTGTACTCACTCCTGTTCCCAACCTGCTATTGGTCAGTGGTGCAAATTAGCATGTCAAAGTCCACCAAAACTGAACTTGATTCAAAAGATGTGCACAGATATACTTTGACTACAACAGTGCGTCTGGTTTCCACATGCAGAGGCCAAAAAGCGAATGCTTTTTACCATCACACAGCGAATCACTTTTTAAAACACAGCTACAATATGTAAAAAGAACCAACAGTAGGTAATAAAGTAGAGAATAAAAATAAAGTACAACAATACAATAAATGAAAGCAAATTAATTAAAATGAAGACAGACTAGTGGTGCATTAATAAAATATCTATAATGTTAATAAATCAGTTTTAAAAAAAGTTTTTCAAGCTTTGGTTTTCATTAAAACTGTATAACTAGATGTACTGCTGAAAACACTACGAACTCTTTCAACATTTTGAACCTAAATACTAAAAACTAGAGAAAAAACAGGCTGTTTTTAAGTTTTTTGGTGATACAATTAGCCCAAGTTTCCTGGTATCCTGGTAGACTAGTCCTGTTCCTGCAGGGTCACATCAGTCAATTAGTTCCTGGTCAATTCAGCTGATTGACCCGACTGTGGACTTCTCACGCTGTGTGTGTGTGTGTGTCTGTATAATGATGGCATTGAGACCCAGCTGACCCAATTCAGTGGGACAGAGCAGCGTCTCTGTCTGACCTGCAGCCGGTTCGCTCTGATCTCGGCTGCAGCTGCAGACTGAAGGGCCTCGAGGCTCCTCAGACCCTCATCTGCATGTGAGACCAAACACGACCGGTTCAAACCCTCAAAGGAAGTCCTGAAGATCACGGCTGCGTGCAGGAACGAGCCATGAGTCAAAGACAACAAAGAAACAGTGTTAAAAGTAATAAAAGTGTATTGATATCCATAATGTGTTGGATGTTTGGGCAGAACTTATAAAAGGCACAGCTAAACAATCAGCCTTTTTGTATCAGATTCATTTAATTGATGTATTGCCCCACATTAACACAAGCTATCAATTAAGGACAAAAAGATTTTATTTATTTTTTATTTTGTTTTTCTTTCATTTGTTCTATTTGCTTTATCTTTTAAAGCCTAAAAAGGCCTTTTAT